GGGGGGGTTAACCGTGGTGTCCAGCCCAGCTTGCATGTGTCTCGACTAATTTCATGGGATACCTACTACCTCTCACCAGCAACAAGCACCAGGTAATTCTGTCCACCCAAGGCTTTACAAGGGGCTTGCTTTATCAAGAGAATCTAAAAAGAAGAAGGGTACTGTTGTGTAATAGGTTTTACACATGTAAGTAGAGATGAGACTCCAAGAATCTACTCTCGGATTGTCTCGTTGCAAAGAATTTCTGGGATATCTTCATGAATATATTTCTAGAGTGGATAATGCCACACTCATACAGATGCATATGTAAGTTGGTTTCGGTGGAAGGTGAGCAAATCGATTAGAAGAATATATGTCACACTATTCCAGCAGCATTCTTTGGACCTTCCTAAAGGAGAGAGGAACCAGAGATCTTCTGAAGGAGTATTTACCCCGCCCGCTCTTTGAACACCAAATTCTTGATGAATGTAATTTGTGTAAATTCACATATGTAATTGGTAAAGATGATCTTTTGGATTTGATTAGCTCCTTAAGCTTTGCATAGGAGCTTCAGTTTGGCTTTTTAACCTACTGCATCTTCTGGATGCCCTTTTTTTAATTCTTGATTTCTTTATCCAAGGAAAACATGACATTAACGCACAAAAAATGGTTGTACAGAAGCATTTAATCTCAAATAAAGAAACTTCATAAAACTGTCTTATAATAAACAAATTGATTATTTGGGAGTTGAGGACACACAAAAAAAGGCAATAACTCTCATCAAAAGTATCCACTACACTACAAACTTAATTTACAGTGGAGGCATCACTTAATAGTACAGTATGTGTCACAGAATATATTGCCAGACAACAATAACAAAAGCTAAGATAATGATTGACCTAATTGCTCAGAGGTACGAAACACAGCCACTAAAATCTGTTCAATGACTAGAATAATTCCACCAAACATGAGGAATAATACCTGAGGATTCTGCAGATTGAAAACTACAAGATTTCTATCAGCCGTGCCAGCAACCATCAGAGGATGTTTCACTGTTAGTGCATAGCAGCGCTCAGGAAGTTGTTGGACATGTGCTGGATTTGGCTGTCTCAAATCCCAGTACCTGTGAGAAGATTGTGCCCAGGATTACAATGTTAAATGCAAAATTTATTACAGAATCCTGGCTTTAATGAACATGTTTTTTTTAAAGGTAAGAATTTCTTAGCATGTGAACCCCAAAAAAGAACCTTAAAGAAAGAGGACTCTTGATTGACTACATATAGAAACTTAAGACCTAATATGCAGGAAAGTGAAACGAAACCCCCACCGAAGGAAGATGCAAAATTTTGAGTAAATTAATGCCAAAAACTTATGATTTTCTACGCGAATCATCTTTTTGACTAGCAAAACAATAGTTTGAAACTGCAATTCTCCAGCCACCCACAGAAAGAATAAAGTTAGATGTACTGAGACGGATATTTTTCTGAAATGCAATATGCAGCAAATTCCTAAAATCCAACTTCAAATTCCATTTACCTCAGAGTCTTATCCCAGCTTCCTGTGACCAAGAGACTCATCTCTGGGATCCAAGCTAAGTCCTTGACTGGAGCATCATGCATGCCTACTGTTACGGCTTGACCACCTAGTGGCCACATTTTCACTTGCTTGTCACAACCTCCAGAGAAGACAGTCGTTCCATCATCCTTCCAAGCTGAGCATAAAACCTGCCAGACATAGATTGTATAGCTAATAAATCCAAGTCATACAGCAAGAAGTGTAAATTTACCACAAAGCTGCCCATATATTACCGGTTGGTCATGTGATATAGAGGCCTTGGGTGCGGTTCCAACATTGGTTCCACTTCCCATTACTTCCCAGCATCGCACCTAGAAAAGTTTTCACAGAATAAAGATTGATATCCAGTTGCACCTAACAATGAAAACCATCTAGAAATAGGAGAGGCCGTTATACCTAAATCTTTTTTTGCCCCAACTTCCCAGTCCTAAGATCTTACTGACCCATTAATAAAACCCCTATATGGAGTGTAACTACCATGGTCATTCCTCCATGTCCAGACTCACCACTAAATTAAAAAAGATCTCCTAAGTTAAACTTGTAAACAGTCTTTGTCTCTGTACTACACCCTATTCCGCCTTTTAGCTTTGCTTGAAAAAAATATTTATAATATCATCCATCCCACTTGAGGTTTTAGCAACTTCATTCAATGAGAAATTAAAATCTTCTTTGAAAAAGTTTGCATATTAAGTGTGCCATGATTTCCTGTCACCATTAACTATCACATATGTATTAGGTCCAAAGAAGAGTTATCTACTCAAGTGAGCAGCCTATTTGGACAGACTAAAAACTGGGATCACTAACGGGACAGCATCAAATGTTTAGTTCTTCATGCATAAAAAGTAATATCACTCCATGACACCTCAATCCCCAATCCCCAATCCCCAATCAGTTCGGTTCAACTATATGAATCCGTTTGAATTCTTTCCGCTCAATTCAGGTCTATTTACAAGTAAACTATAAATAGACCTGAATTGAGCGGAAAGAATACAAAGGGATTCAGGTGTATTTATATTTAAGGCAAATTACGGTTATCTAAATTCCATAGTTATCCTTACTCAAAAAGTAATATGACCCATTAAAAATATTCAAGAGAGATGGAAAATATCAACGGGAAGCAAACGAACCTGGTTATCCCATGAAGTAGCAATCAGAAAATTAGCCTTGGGACTGAAGCACAGGCTTGATACAGAATCGCTAGGAGGTTGTTGAACCTTTCAAGTACATTACCCAAAATGTTATATGCACAAATTTCAAGCATGAAAAAAAATACCCTCAAAATTAAAACAGCCAAGAACTAGCAAACATTAGCTAGTTTCATTCAAGAATAGCATAGACTAGAAACTTTGCGTTTAGCTACATTCGTACTCCCTCTGTCCCAAAAGGGATTGGGATTTAGACCACGATGGTCAACACAACTGATTTTCAGTAATAATCTGAATTTACATTCCTTTAGAAACTAAATTAAAAAAAAAACACCAAACCTCACAATTTCTTTATATAAAAAATGCTTGAAAATTCGGAATCAAAGGAAACACTATTTCGACTTCCCAAACGAAACAAACTGAAACATAGAAACTTGCAAAAGCAGATAATAAACTTGGAATAAATTAACAAAAACTGAAGAAAGTGAGAATACCTCGGTGGACTTATTCGGATTCGTGTTTGCCGCAGCAGCGGCACCGAATATCGACATTGACGCAGTTTAATAGCTACAATGAACAACAAAGCCGGAAAAGAAACGTAAGAAATTAGATTGAATGAAATATTTAGAATAAAAGTACCATAAATTCGGTGCAAATAACAGATTGGTAAAGAATAAGCATTACAATGAGGATTTGCTACTGAAAACGAACCCTAGTGCTTGATTGAGACTCGTAGAATTAACAGAAAGATTCAAGCGTATAATTTGGAATTAGAGAGTTAAGGTTATATATAGAGAGACTGGGCGTGTGCTTTAAGCTAAGGCTAATGTATTTCCTATTTTTCTTTTTTCTTCCTTTTTCTTTTACGGAAAGAAATTGTGGGAAGAAAATCAAATTTCAAACTTCAGTTTGGTCGGAGAGGTTTAAGAAGGAAGGCGCGGTTGTGATCCGAATACATAGGGTAAAAAATGAATTACTATTTACTACTATATAAAAACAATATTTAGAAAAATTAATACTTATATGACTACAATTCAGAGTTTTTTTTTTCTTTTGGTGCAAAAGATAATATTCATATATACTAGTTTTTAGGGTACGCGCGATGCGCGTGTACCCATATTAATAAGAATAGAGATTTATTAAAATTATATAATTATTAGAAATAAATATGATTGAATTATAAGTAAAAAATTATAAAAAAGTATAAATTCTTGAAAACGATGAATATTGATCATATTTAGTTAAATGGATAACAATTTCTTCTGTCTATGATATTTGCTTTGTCATAAAATTAGAAACTTAATTTTAGTGGTTATCTTTGTTAGTTAATGCTATAGAAAATTGTATGATTTAGTTGTGTGTGAAGGCAATTAGGAAAATATATATTGCACGCATAAATTTCTAATGATTTTTAGATAAGAAGTTTATATGCTTTGCCTTACTATATTTTTTTAAAAAGAATTATAGTCATATTACCTTAGTTCACGAATAACTTAATATAAGATAAAATCTAAATTGATTTTAAAATTATACTCTCTCTACCCCAATATATATGTCTCTTTTCTCGCCTAGTTTGTACCGAAAAGAACGTTATACTTTCTTATTTAAAAATACTTAACTTTAATTTTCTCAATTTACTCTTGATGAGATTATTTATAGCCACACAAATATTTATGGTTTGCTTTAGACCATAAATTATCTTTTTTTACTTAAGCTCATGGTCAGCCAAACATTATCACATAATTTGGAATAGATGGAATAAAAAGTAGGACTGACTATATATCTAAAATAAGAAAAGATTAAATAAATAAAAAATTTAATTTATTTCAAACTACTAAATAATAGAAAAGTAATTAAATATTATTTTTATTTAAGATGACATATTTTTAAAGGATAAAAAAAATCAACTAACGTTTTATGTTGGAGGATCATAAAAATAGATTTTACGAAATGTTATCCAACCTTTTTACTTTTTAAAAATAGATTTTACAATGGACAAAACTATCATATAGTCCACAGGATTTAGGAATTTAGAATTAACTAAAATTTTGGATAAAGATCCTACTTATATTTAGGAATTTTTCTTTAAGACTATAATTATGCAATAACCGTAAAACTAAACATAGTTTGTTTGTTTTTTTATTTAATAATTTGTGTTAGTCAAGTACTTCTTCCTTTCATCCCGAGATAAAATATGTTCATGTTTCTTTGCATTTTGTTAGAATTATTTTAATAGAAACAGCTTTTTAAAATTAGAATAATAAAAGAAGAAGTGTACAAGGAGAATTAAGTGAAATATTTCTCATAGCAATTAACATGTTATTTAAGGACTTCGGAAAATAATTTTTTTATAATGATCAATTTGGAAACGACAAAAGAAAGTGTTAGTTTCTTTTAAATTATGGTCTGTTAGCCTACTATAAGTATTTTATTGGATGCAGAAATTAAGAAAATTAATCTAACGGTATGTTACATTAATTGATTTTGACTTCCTAAATTTTAGAATTTCATATTGATTTCAAAGTTCTAAATAATAGGGAACTATGTTAAATGACAACTTTATTTACTGTGAAATCTATTTTTAAAGGGTAAAAAAGGCGAACGACATTTCGCTAAGGGCCTTCGTGCTTTTAATATAGTATAGATATAGATTAACTACTGCATACAGAGAGTGGCCCATTACATGTGGCTGTCTTGCCATACTTATTTAAACTATTTCTAAACAAAACTACATTAGTACTACTACTACCATTAGCATACAGCATAGTATTCCCATGGGTATTACTACTAGAGTCATCCATTGTTTGGCTTATATTTACATCCAAAAGGTGCTTCCTATCAGCTTCCAGAGCTTGATTGACAAAAGGAGGTGCCACATTATAAACATAGGGATCAGTCATATGAACAAAAAGTTTGGCTGCCTTTGCTAGTTGATCCGCGACCATATTCTGTTCTCTGTATGCATGTCGGACTGGCGGATTATTAAGCTGGTTGAGGAGGTACCTGCAGTCATTTATGATATTGGAATGTGAAAAATTGTCAGTTTGTAATAAAGTAATAATCTGTTTAGCATCTAACTCAACTTCTATAGGCATCAAATGATGTTGTAAGGCTAAGGTAAGGCCTTTGAGCAAAGCATATAATTCAGTTGATATTGTAGATCCCTTTTGTATGGCTTGTGCGAATCCCAATATCCATTCCCCCCTTGAATTACGGATTGCTCCTCCAATTCCATTTGCATTGATGCCATTAGCACCATCCATATTTAACTTGTAGAAGTTTTGCGCAGGTGGATGCCATCCAAGATTAGAGGCACGTTTTTTCCTAGGTTTATGAAAATGAGCCGTGAGATATGGAAACTCAGTAGCTTGAAAGGTTGTTGTAGAGACATTAACCTTTTCCTTTAAAGAGTTAAAGTTGTTTTTGTTGCGAGTTATCCAAATATTCCACAAGCTTACAGGAAGGAAAGTGTTTGAGCTTAAGTTATGCGGGAGATGAACATTTTTAGAGTTAATTAAAGTATATAACCAATTCTTAGTCCCTTGTATGGTATGTATATATCTTATTAGATTTGTAAGACCTAATTCTTCCCAAAAGTCAGTTGCATTTTTGCATTAAAGGAAAATGTGACGAATATTTTCTTCAGTATCTTGGCAGTATGTACAAGAGTTATTTTGTATAAGTCGAATATATGTTAGGTATGCTTTAGTGGGTAATCGATCATGGCATAACAACCAAATGAAGGTTTTAATTTTAGGTAAGATTGGTAGTTTCCACATCCATTTAAAGTTAATAGGTTGTGTAGGTGAATTTGTAAATTTGTCCAGTAAGTTATGGTAGCTAGAGTTTGTTGTAAATGCACCTACTTGCGTTAAACCCCAGTAGGGAGTGTCTGGAGTATTTTACTATGCGAAATATAAATATTGTGTATTAATTGTATGATATCTTTAGGTAAATCAAAAGGCATTACATTCCAATCCCGATTGGCATTATTAAGGAAAGATGAAACTTTAATATTATTCTGATTTATTGGAAGAGGCCCTTGTATTAGTGAACGAATTGTTGTACCAGGATTTAACCAGGGATCATTCCAAAAGCTAATATGCTGGCCTGTTCCAATTTTCCATTGTAAGCCAGTTTGGCACAACTTTCATCCTGTTAATATATTAGACCAAATTCTGGAGTATTTGAAGCCCTTTTTTCTATTCAAGTATTTATTAAGAAGAATCTGGGCCCACATAGCGTTAGGCGATTTAAAGGCTCTCCAAGCCAAATTAGCCAGGAGTGCTGAATTTTTAACGTCAAGTTTTTGTATTCCTAAACCCCCTGCTTCTTTTGGCTTAGTAACAGTGTCCCATTTTAGAAGGTGAATTCTTTTCCTTGTAGCAGTTGTGCCCCAGAGAAAATTACGCTGGTATTGATTCATTTTGGATATAATTGCCGGAGGAATGGTAATATATTGCATAATATAATTAGGTAAGTTATTCAAGGTTGATTTAATTAGCGTAGCTCTTCCTGCAAGTGTGAGAAAATTAGTTTTCCAACCAGTATAATTCGAGTTATTATTTCAAAAACTGTAACATTTTAAAAGTGTAACAAAGTTGATTATGAAGGGCAATAAAGCGATAAGATTCAAATTGAAAATGAACTTTTTGTAAATTCTAGTATATTGTGGGATCAGGAAAGAAACAAAGGAGAAATCTGGCATTAAAAATTGAACGTGCACCTATTAAAATTCACATGTAACATTAAACTATGTTATCAATTGAAAGGATTTTAAAATCTTACAATTATGGTTACTGAAACTACTTTTGATATTGATTCCACACATTAATTGTCAAGTATTTAGATTCTATTTACTATTTTACTGTTAATGAAGTTTGCATTAGTTACGCGGTACTTCTTGTATAATTTTATCAAATTTATAATATGAAATAACAGTAGACGTGCTAGCAAAAAGTCGAAATAACATCACATAAATCCTTAAAAGTCTTTTACGCTATTGTTTGTTTAATTGGCATCTTTAAGTTATTATCTCTCATTTATTCAAGTAATGTTTATAAGATTAATTTTAAAATAAATTATAAAAAAGAGATTATATAATTTTTCATGTTTACAAGATGAATGCAATATTTATTTATAATGATTCTCTAATTTATAATAGATTTTCTATTAAGTTATACAAATTATTTTTTAATCAAATATGATAATAAACCAAAATGTTAAAACTGTACTAGTATAAGTTATGTAATGCGATACTAATAGCCTGTTTGGCCAAGCTTCTTTTTGGCCAAAAGTGCTTTTTTTGGCCAAAAGCACTTTTGGCCAAAAATTGAGGTGTTTGGCCAAGCTTTTGGAAGGAAAAAAGTACTTTTGAGGAGAAGCAGTTTTGGAGAAGCAGAAAAAAGTAGTTTCTCTCCAAAAGCACTTTTTTGAGAAGCACTTTTGAGAAAAATATACTTAGAAGCAGTTTTTTAAAGCTTGGCCAAACACTAATTGCTGCTCAGAAGTGCTTTTCAAACTAATTAGCCAAACACAAACTGCTTCTCACCAAAAGTACTTTTGAGAAAAGCACTTTTGAAAAAAAGCACTTCTCAAGATAAGCTGATTTTTGCAGCTTGGCCAAACGGGCTATAAAACTCACGGAGCATAGGTAAGTCATCGGAAAGTATGACGTCTTATCCTAGTCCTAGAGAAAGAAGAAATTAGTGTATGGGGTCGAATTTGACCGATAGCGTCCCTAAGTCAGCACGACCAACCGCCGAACATATATGAGCTCCGAGAGAAAGACGACTTAGGAGTAACGGGAGAAACGACTTCATAACCTCGTCGGCCCCTCTATAGAATGTA